CCACCCTCTGGTTGTCCCTGCCCGCTCACCTGGGCTGTCCGCTCAGGACTGTGTGGGGGTTGGAGGCCTGAGCCCCTGCCTGTTGCCCTCCCCTACGCGTTCTCGCCCCTTCTCCTGTGTGGGGCGTGAGCGAGCCCCTGTAAGATACCAAGAGCATGTGATGGGTCCGCTGGGCCTCGGGGGCGTATCGAGGTGCATCTTCCGACTGTTGTCCAGCTCTCACTGCCTTCCTCTGCCCCGCCCTCCGCCATCCCCGGCCACCACCCCAGGGAGCTGGCACCAGAGAGGGGCCCGGACCCAAAGCAAAATAAACACTATTTTGACCGCTGTCTTTTATATTTCTGAGCACATGCAAGATGCTGGGCTCCGCGTGGTGAAGGCGCAGTGTGGACGGAGCATCCCCAGCAGCAGCGCCCGAGCCCTCCAACCTCGGCCGGTCCTTGGTCACCACCGCCGCGTGAAACTCCTGCCCAGGAACGGAGGACCGTTCTCAGACGCTCAGGGAGGCAGGAACGATTCCGAAGGTTTCAACAGCTTTCAATCTTTCGTTATCTGTCCTCGGTCTCTGTTCTTGTTACAATTTCATTCTGCTCTTTAAGGAATCGGGGTAGGGGCAGCCAGGGAATTTGTGTCGTGTTGTTTTTCTTTTTCTTTTGGTTCATATTTATATTTTGGTTGTAGACAAGAACCGAACACTTTGGCTGACTCTTGGCTGCCAGCATGTTTGACCCGAGCCCCCTTGTGTATATTTTTACTCTTAACTGGAAATAGGTACACCCCAGGTTGTCCAAAATTTAGGGTCTGAGCCACCTGCATCCGCCAGCAGTGAACCCCTGGGGAGGGGCTGGGTTTTGGTTGAGGGTCTGTGGGGACCGAGTGGCACTCCCTGCTGCAGGGGTTGGGCTGGCGGAGGGGGTGCCCACCAGCACCACCACCACCATCTGAGAACCCAGGGCTGAGCTGGTGCCCCATTCTAGAAGGTTCCTGGTGCTTCTAGAAATGTCCCTAAGGCTGGTGATCTACCTGGGGCTGCAACCAGGCCATGGGCCATCTCTGACCCTTTGCACTACAGACCCCTCGAGGGTCTTTCTGCAGCTGCTTTGGAACTTGAGCCTGCCCCACCCCTCGAGTCACATCCAGATGTGCTCACTTCCACCTGCCCCACCTGCTGGGCTGGTACTTTCTGCTTAGCTCGTCCTGTGGTGTTGAGCACCACCTGCGTAGGGTCTGGGAGCGTTCCTCGCTCTGTCTGGGGGAGCAGACTTGATCTAGCTCCAGTACCCCCCTGACAGCCCGACCATTCCTCCCTTTGGCCCCCAGTGACGGTGTTGGCCTGTCCATGACTGCGTTGCCCTTGAGAGCCAGACCCCTCCCTTCCCTTCTCCCTCCCCCACCGATCTTGGGGGCACATGGCGGGGGCTGGGAATGAGAGGCGGAGACATTTTTATTTTAAAGGAACTACACGTATCCGGTACATAGGAGAGTTTGATGATGATGATTAGACTCAAAAACGTGGAACTTTTAAACAACGGCCTTAATATAGCGATCTGTACCCACCTGGCCCCACGCTGGCCCCCTGCTCAGGCCCCACACTCAGCTGGCCGGCCACGGCTCCCTGAGGCTCCTGGTGGACGGAGTGTTCATCTCGGGAACTTGTGTCCCGCTGTGCACCCTGAATCATGTTAACTGATGGCTCAGCTCTGTCTTCGTGTTGCTTTTCCATTGGAGAGGTGACCAATGTCACCGGAAGCTTCCCAGGGACAGGGGATGGGGACTTGAGGCCAGCCAGGAGGCAGTGTCCGGGGTCCTTGTGTCGGAGGGCCTGGGCAGTCCTTCAGGGTGCGCAATGGGGTTGCTTTTTTTAGTATCACTACTCTACTAAGTATTCGTAAATTGCCAAGACTTTCTGAGACAGAACAGGAGACAGGAACCAGCTGTTTGAATGGGTGTGAAAATACTGTGGTTTCTGACATGCTGCAGGATGACAGCAGGGGAGTCCCCAGAATAATGTGTATAGGTCTGGTGCCTTTGTCCTCTCACTCGGGCAGCCTAGATGCTCATCCCTGCTGCGTGCCCCCAACCTGGCCAGGTCCCCCAGGACAGCGGTTGGCTGAGAAAGAGTGAGCTGTCCACATGTCCCTGCCTTGGTTTCCTCTTCAGCCTCGGGTCTGTAGGGGCGGTGGGCTTGCTCCCCCATGTGGCACCTGGCCTGAGGGGGGCCCGGGGTCAGCTCCCCACTACGTTACCAGGAGAGGGTTTTGTGCCCCTGACCTGCTCCTGCCCCTGGGGGCTGTCATGGGGGCAGCTGAGGACCTCATTGGGGTAGCACCCCAACATCACAGATAACGGGCGACCTGAGGGTGAGGTGCTGGCTCTCTACCTAGCCCTTATAGATGGGGACAGGTCAGCAGCGTGTCAGGGTGCCGTCAGCTCCCTCCCCTCCTTGCACCCCCATCCCCCTCCTGATGCCCTCCTAGGGGGACAGGGTGGGTGCCAGCCCCTCAGGGTGGTGGACTCTGAGACCCCTCGGGGGAAGGCCCAGGGCTTCTTGACACTTGAGTAGAACTCGGAAGTCCTGCAACTGGCAGCACCCAGAAATTGGCCAGCTGGTGAGGGTGAACCCATCATGGGGGCACTCTGAGAGGTAGGCCCTTCTGTGGGGGTTCAGGAGGACCCCCAGGCCTGCCTAGGACAAAGGCTACAGGGCACAAGGGTGAGGTGAGGCACATGTGGGGGGCCTTTACCCCAAAGGACACCTCTGCCTGAATCCCTGCCTCCCTCTGGCTCCAGGGACGCAGGGGGAGGAAGGGCCTCTTGCTGTCCACTTCATCCTCCTGTGGGGTCCTGGGCCAGGGTAGAGGAGTCTCACATCTGTGTTTCTGGCTTGATTTTTTGGGGGGACTATGCCCCCAGGTGGACCATCCCAAGGCCACGTGTCATAGCAGGTGGGCAAGGTTGGGTGTCGAACACCGTGAGAGCCCCCGTGCAGAGGGCGAGAGGCCCCATGTCTCTCCATCCGTCCTGCTGCAGGGCAGACCTCGGTCTCGGACTGTGCCTGGCACTGGCTGTGGTGGGGTAGGGGGGTTGGGGCAGGTGCCAGTGCGAGGCCACCCCCGTCCAGCTCCTGGGCCTGGCGAACCTGTCAGTGTGACCCTCAGGGGACTCAGAGACACTGAGGATGCAGGGGAGCAACCCCCACCCCTGGTCCTCCATGTCACTCATAACCAAACGTTAATCTATGCACCTGCCCCATCTGAATCTGAGTCCCTTTCTACGTTCTCAAAGAAGGCCATCTCAGTACCGTAGCTCTCAGCGCAGGCTGAGTGGAGTGGGTGATGCCTGGCAGTACTGGGGAGCCCCGCTGGTGTCCTTCTACCCCAGTCCCATCAGAGCAGCAGCCCTGGTCACCCTCACGAGGTCCTGGTGGAGCCGTCAGTCAGAGGATGCACTTGCCAGGACATGGTGGGGGGACCCTTGATGTGGGGGCTGGGACACAGGGAGACCCTCAAGCGTGGGGGCCGGGATGTGGGGGCACCTGAGGTGTAGGAGCCAGGATGTGGGGGGATCCTCGGTGTGGGGGCCAGGATATGAGGGTCCTTCCTCAGTGCAGGGATAGGACACAGGGCACCCTCAGCTTGGGGCGACGGGTCAGCACTGAGGTCATTGGCTGTTGCTCCTCTGGGTGGCACAGTTAGGGAGCTGGGGCCCTCCTGGTGTGAGCAGGAAGCTGGGTGCATTTACATCCCCAGTTCTTCCCGGGCCCCCACCTCTGGAGGTTTCCCGTGCTTGAAGGGGGCTGTGTGGCCCCTGGGCATCCTCCTGCCAGCTCCTGGGGTCCCTGCCTGGCCGGTAGTGTCAGAGATGAGGAGGGGCCCCCATAGCCCTGGGCGGGCACAGGCAGGCCTCACCCGAGCACTGGCTGTGGCCACTGTTCCAGTCGTAGCTCCCTAAGAGCAGAGAGGAGGGGTGACCTGCACCCCCAGGCCCGTCCAGTGGTGTCTGGCCCCACCCACTCCTGAGGGCATGGAGGGACAGGAGCAAGCCCTGCCAGGCGTGGGCCTCTGTTTCCCGTCAGTTTTTCAGACCCCCAGGTGGGGAGCAGGGACTGGAGTTGGGGAGACCGCTGCAGAGGGCTCCTTATTGCATGCAGGGGGTCTGTGTCCCCACCCGCAGGGCACTGGGATCTGGGGATGTTGATGCTGAGTCCCACCTGCCCAGTACCCTGACCCAGAGGTCACCGCCTGTGTCCCACCCTCGGTAGGAACTCCCAGGGGCCCGGTGCCCCGCTGATATATGCAAACCTGCGGCCTGTCCTCCCCCAGCATGTACTCTGGCAGCGGGGCGGGCTGGCCGGCCGCTCTCCCTTGGCGCGGATGCTTCTGTCTTTGTACCTTTGCATCTTTGTAATGAAATGTAATAAAACTCCATTGTTTTCGTCTCTGCCTCCTCCTTCCTTCCAACCCCTTCCTGCTCTCTCTGGATGAGCCAGAGGCATCGCAGGGGTCCCCAGGATCTCCCTGGGGATCAGCCACTCTCACCAACGGACAGGCACGTGAACATGGCCACCCGCACGAGCCCCTCACGGGCCCAGACCTGGCTCCTCAGGCCCAGAGTCTGGCAAGGGGCGGACCCTCAAACTTGGAGCCCCTGAGAGACCCACTGTCAGGTTCTGGAGCAAACGATCCAAAAGGTCAGTGCGGCTATCGAACATGTCACGGAGGACGTGGCGCAGGCCTAGAAGCTTCCCACAATCGGGGCCAGAAGCTCCCGATCCCCAGCACGCTGCTGGAGCGTGGGGTCACGGGGGTGGGGAGGGCGCATGGGAACCCCGGCCCAGTCCTCCCGGCAGACAGACTGCAGCGCCATTCCTACACACGTACACACACGCTTTATTTCGTCCTCTTGCAACCCCTCTCCCTCCCCACCACCCAGGCCGGCTGACAGCCCCCAGCCTTTGTAGGAGTGGCAGTCGTCCCGTGGTGAGTCCCCACACCTGGCCTCTAGGCGAGCTGCAGCCGCTGGGCTTCGTAGTCCTCCGGGATGGTGTCTGCGGAAATGGGGCGTGGTGAGGGGAGGAGCGTAGTGAGTGGGGGCCGGGGCCCACCCGGCCTCGCCCTACCCCGAGCAGTCCCCGCCTTCCCCGCGCTTACCGTTGCAGCGGTAGCGCAGGTTGGCCCAGATGATGTTCTCCTGGGAAAAGCAGAAGACCCCCAGGCGGCCGCCCCGCATGGTGGTATCCAATATCACGTTGCTGTCGGCCACCAACTCCGGGCCCTCGAAGAATCGCACCCTGCGCGGGGGGGAGGGTAGGGGACGTGAGGCGGGGCATGGGAGAACCCTGCTCTCTGGAAGCCTCAGTGTTCCGGCCCTGGATAATGAGCTCCTCCCAGCTGGGCAGAGGCCTGTCAGCGTCAGGGTGGGCGGAGCCTCGACCTGAGCCTCAGGTCCCCTGTATGATAGGGTCCTGCACACAGTAGGCGCTGAACAGACCATTTGGACTTTCTGGCAGGGCAGAGGGGGGATGGAGAAGCAGGGTTGGGCTGAGACCTCCACCTTCTAGGGCAACACCTACTGTGTGCACTCCAGGGCCAGGCACAATTTAACAACCCCATCATCATCCCCATTCACAGACAAGACCCAGGGCCCCAGACGGCCCCCTCTGGGAGCAAGGCACAGCAGGGGGTGACCAGGTCCATTTGCGGGGTGGGGGTCCCCACCTGATGTAGCCCACTTGCGGCCGGTGCTGCAGGAACCAGCGGTAAGACGTCTTGTCCTTCCAGCCAACGTTGCGGGGGTCCTTCCACAGCAGCCGCACCTGCGACCCTGTGTCCCCCGTGTGCCACAGTGCATTCCTCAGCTGCTCCCCGGGGCCCGTGGAAGACTTCACAGCCTGTCATCCCCTCCGAGGACAGGGGGAGGAGCTCAGAGAGCGTGCAGACCAGTGGAGCCCCCCAAACCCTGACACTACTCAGGGGGGTTAGGCTGAAAGCTGCAGGTCATGAAGGAGTGGGAGGTCCTAGGGGTGCCTGGGGGGGGCTGGATGGGGGACCCGCAGGAGCTCTTTGGATGCTAAATGGGGCTTCCAGTGGGTCATGGGGTGGTGGTGGCCTGGGGGCTCATGAGAGGATTTGGGAGCTCCTGGACAGGTTCAAGGTCTGGTAGGATTTAGGGGGCCTGCAGAAGAATTTAGTGACCTTAGAAATTTGGGTGTCCATGGGATGAACTGGGGTCTAGAGGACTTAGGGGATTTGCTGGAAGGTTTCAGGGATATACTGGGGTTGGGGAGCCTATAGGAGGTATTCGGAGTCTACAGGAAAGTTTGGAGGTTCTGTGAGAGGATTTGGGGGCCCAAAGGAAGGTTGGGGGACCAGGGGGAGTATTTGAGGGCTTGTGGGAGGATTTGGGAAGATTAGGGTCTGTGGAAGTGTTCTGAGGTCCACAGAACGATCCTGGGGGTCTGTGGGTCCCTACAGGCTTTGGAGACCTGTGGGGAGGAGGTGGGGGAGTCCCTGGGGAGGTCAGGGTGCTGCCGGAGGCTCCAGGGAGGTCAGGGGTGGCGGAGGATAGCATTATGGAAAGGTCTGGGGTGTTCTGGGGGTCCCCAGGGAGATAGGCACTGGCGCACCCCCACCTTGAGCTGGATGCCCGGCTCGGCCACGGCACGGAAGGGATTCGCCTGCCAGTATGTCTGCTCCATCTGCTTCCACATGACCACGTAGAAGCTGGAGCTGTCCTGGTACCCGAAGATGAAGCCCGCGTAGTCGTCGTCTGTGACTGTGTTCACGTGGAACGTGCCCTCAAAATCCACGCCGTTGAAGGCCGTGTAACCTGGGGAGTGGGGAAGGGGCTAGGACTCCTGGACGCCGACCCGCCCCTTCGGGTCCACGCCCTGCCCAGACCCTACGGAGGCCCAGAACTGCCCACGGCACCGCCTCTCCAGGGTCCGGACCCCCTACGGGCCCTAAGCCCAGACAAGGCCACACTGCCTAAACCTGACCCCGCCCCACGCCCAGACCCCGCCTATGGCCCCCACCATAGCTGTCCCTCGATGGCCCTGCCGTGTGGGCGAAGACACGCCCCTCCAGGGCCCAGGCACGGCTCCGCCCCCCACAGCCCCCGCTGCCCGCCCGCGTCTCACCAACAGCCAGGCCGGGGTCGCTGTTCATCGTCTGCACGATCTCCATCCCCTGGTGGGTCATGTAAAAAGGGAGTCAGGCAATAGCGCGTGGCACCTTGGGCTCCCTACCCATCAACCGCACCCTCACCTGGTTGAGCACCACCCAGTTGGGGTCGATCTGCGCGTCACCCTCAGGGTCCAGCACGACCGTCTGGAAAGCCCGGAAGTCAGTGAGGGTGACCTCAGCGTTCTCAGGGCACACGTCAATCTTGTCCACCACCTTGTCGGCATCGAAGTCGTCCTGGCACGCGTCCCCAACGCCGTCCCCTGGTTGGAGGCGGAAACCCCCCCGACGGTGGGCTCACTGCCAGGCCCCGCCCACTCCTATCCAAGGCACCGCCCACTTGTTCCCGGGCTCTGCCCACACCAAAGGTCCGGCCCACGCCCAGGCCGGCCTTGCCCACAAAGCCTCACCCAGTCACAGGCTCCGCCCATGCCGGCACAGGTCCAGTCCATGTCCACCCAGGCCGAGCCCACCCAGGCCACGCCTCCCCCGCCCCCTGCCCTACTGTTGGAGTCTTCTTGGCCCGGGTTGGGCACCAAGCGGCAGTTGTCACGACTGTCAGGAACCCCGTCATTGTCGTCATCGTCATCACAGGCATCGCCCTGGCCATCGTGGTCTGAGTCCTGCTGGTCGCTGTTAGGCACTGAGGGGCAGTTGTCCCGAGAGTCCTGGTGCCCATCCCCATCCCTAGAGTTGGGGGGGGGGGACACAGAGAGGCAATAAGACCCCCAGAGGGACGCATCAGAGGCCAAGTGGCACCACCCACCCCTGGCTTCCACCCCTGCAGAAGACGACTGCCTTACTTGTCTTGGTCGCTGTCACAAGCGTCTCCCACAAAGTCGTGGTCCACATCTCTCTGGGAAGAGGGAGGCCACAGTCAGGGCAGAGGGTCCCAGTAGCCTCCCCCATCCCATCTCAGAGCCAAGGTCCTGCCGACCCCCAGGGCTGCTCAGACCGGGGCACTTATGTGCAAGGGTGGAATGGTCTAACCTGGGCTCACCCAGGGTCTAACACTGCTGGATGTGGCGCCCCCACCTGGTCAGAGTTGCTCTTCTGGGGACAGTTGTCACAGGCATCTCCTATGCCATCACCATCGCCATCCTTCTGGTCTGTGTTGGGCACTGTGGGGCAGTTGTCCACTGCGTTGCGGATACCTGGGGGGATGGGGGAGAGGCCAGCCCCCGAGATCAGGGTAGGGCTAGGCTGACTTCAGCGGGGCAGGGGCAGGCAGCAGGTCAGCTAGGGGACAAAGCTTCCTTCGTCCCTAGCTCCCTGTAGCTCCCTGTCCTAGCCTCACAGGTTAGGATGGCTGGGGGTGGGAGGTGCAGGGGTGAGGGGCTTGGTCCTCAATCACAGGGACAGCTCAGCTGGGTCTCCACCCTGCCAGGAACGCACTTCCGGAGCCTCTATTTCTCCATCTATAAAATCACCGCCTCCCTGGCGCTAAACCCCAGGCTCACCCTTAGACGCCTCCCAGCAGCGTCAGCACACGGACTACCTCCTCCTCCTCCAGTCCCTCTCCTGGATTCTGCCCTACTCCAGCCGCTGCTCTCGACCTCGTGGACTGCATTGGTCCAGGCCCCCGCTACCCAGGACAGCTCACCCTTCCCCCAGGCCCCGCCCCTCGCGCGCTCACGGTCGCCGTCGACGTCGTCGTCGCAGGCGTCGCCCCGGCCATCCTGATCCGTGTCCGTCTGGTCGTCATTTTTCTGGGATCGGCAGTTATCGCATGCATCACCCCACTTGTCGCCGTCTGCGTTGCGCTGGTCTGGGTTCCGCACCAGCGGGCAGTTGTCCTGGGGGATGGGGACGTTTGGGGGGGTCAACCGGTGGGGCAAAGGTCACCCCCCCAGTACCTGCCCCTCGCCGAGGCCCCACCCTAGGCCCCACCTTCTCGTTGAGAACCCCGTCCCCGTCAGCATCTGGGTCGCAGGCGTCTCCGATGCCGTCGCGGTCCACGTCCTCCTGCCCTGAATTGGGCACGGTGACACAGTTGTCCTGGGGGCGCGGGAAGACGGCGTGAAGGGCGTGGCCAACAGGAGCACCGCCTGCCGCTCCTGCCCGGCCACGCCCACATCGGAGTCCCCACCTCGCGGTCCCGCCCCCTGCCCTACCTTGCGGCACTGGCGTTCCGAGCAGCGAAGCTTCTCATCCGGGAAGCCGTCGAGGTCGCTGTCGCGGCCACAGAGGAGCCCGTTACCGGCCCAGCCGACGGCGCACTACCGGATGGAGGTGAGTGGGTGGGCGCCCCCTCCGGGCTGCCCCTGTCCCCGTCGAGCTGCCCTCCCGCGCCCGCTTGGGCCGCCGCGTGTCCCCCCTCCGGACCACCTCGGCCCTCCCGACCATCCCTCCCACTCCGGGCCGCCCCGTGCCCCTCCGACCCATCGCGCGCACTCACTACGCACGACCGAGAGCCGTCGCGCTCCAGGACGCAGTTGGCCTTCTCGTGGCACGGACTGGGCGTGCCGTCAGGGCAGAAGCGCTGCGGGCGCCGCTGGCAGCCGGACGCCTGGTCACCCACGAAGCCGGGCTGGCACGGGCCGCACTGGAAGGAGCCCTGCGCGAGGCCGCGAGCGGTCAGCGCGGGCCACAGGCTCTCCCACCCCGTCGCCATTCCGATTCCCCCAGCCACGTCGGACTCACCGGCGTGTTGACGCACACAGAGTTGGGGACGCAGTTATGCTGCCCAGTCTCACACTCGTTAATGTCCGTGCACACCTGGGAGGAGGGGCGCAGAGGTCAACGCCGACTCAGATACCCCACCCTCCCACCAGTCGGTTCCTCCTCCTGATTCCTCTTGGCCCCCCAGACCTTAGTCCCCGCCTCCTCCTTGTAGCAGTGCTTCTGGGAAGAGGGACTGAGGCTGACGGACTTGTTTACTGAACAAAAAGGGCCTCCTTCCCCCTGTACAGGTGGGGACCGGCGCCCCCGCGCCCCTCACCTGCTTGTTGGCTTTGGCGAAGGCCAACCCCACGCCCTCGTGCGCGGCGCCGCTGTACCCCGGAGGGCAGGCCTCGCAGCGGAAGCCGGGGCTGGTGTTGATGCAGCGGACGCGGGGGAAGCAGGGGTGGGCGTTACACTGGGGATGGAGAGGGGGCCGGGGGTCAGAACGCGCTGCCTCGGGACTTCCCAGGCGTGAACTCGGAAGCCTCAAGGGTTGTCAGTCTGGACTTGCAGGGGTACATGGGGCGGGCAGGGGCGCCATGGGGGGCGGAGGCAGTTTTCCCAGGGGTCAGACCCGGCTTTGCTTAGCTGGGGAGGGCACGCCTGGAGGGGAGCTGTTCCCGGACCCGGTGGGCTGGGTGCTCATGGGCGGGGAAAGGGATTGTGGTAGCCGGAGTCCCCAGCGGCCGGAGGGAGTGGTCGTCGGGGCGGCCGAACCCGGCGGTTGGAGGATGGTCGGGACAGAAAAACCCCGGAGGTGGGAGGGTCGCCGGGACGTGCGCCCCTGGGCAGTGAGGGAGATCGTGGGGGCGGAATCACCCCGGCGGTGTGGGGGTCGTCAGGGCCGGCGCCTTCGGGCGGTGAGGGGTGTCTTGGGGACGGAATCACCGCGGTGGTGGTGGGGTCTGCGGGACGGGCACACCCGGGTGATGAAGGGGGTTGTCTAGGCGGAATCACCCCGGCGGTGGGCGTGTAGTGGTCGCTGCGGGCACCCCCGGGTGGTGAGGGGGTTCCTTGGGGTTCCGCGCCAGCGGTAGAGGGGTCGTCAGGGCGGGGATCCTCTACAATGGAGGGGGTCGTGGGAGCGGGCGCCGCCAGGGGTGGAGGGGGAGTCCGGGCCGCGGGGGGTCGGGGTCGGGCGCACCTCGTTGACGTCTGCGCAGTGCGAGCCGTTGCCAGTGAAGCCCGCCGGGCAGGGGCCGCATCGCGCGCCGCTCGCGGTCTGGGTGCAGACCACGCCAGGGAAGCAGAAGCCGGGTGCGCAGTGGAACAAGGGCCGCACGCTCAGGCCGGGGGTGTGCACCGACTGCATCCCTGCGTGGGGAGGCGGGGCAGGACGGGAAAGTCAAGGCCACACCCCGGGAGTGGGGCAGTTAGTCAGGACCACACCGGGCGGGGCAAGATGGGCAGGACCGCGTCCCAGGGGCAAGGCATGGCGAGGAGGACTTCCACCCTGGGAATGGGGCGGGGCGGTCAAGACCCCACCAGGGGGCGGGGCGGGGCAGTTAGGACGGCACCCCGGGGGCAGGGCGGTCAGGACCACCCCGGTGGGAGTGGATAGTCAGGACTCCACCCCGGGTGCAGGGGAGACCCCAGCTCCTCTCCGCCTGCTGTGTCTCTCCCAGTCCCCCTCACCACATCCCCGCGCCGCCCCTTTTCTACTTCTTTCCCTTCTCCCCAAGGTGTGTCTCTCCACCTCCGGGCATCTCTGCGCGGTCTCTGTCTTTCCCTCCTTGTCAGTCTCTCCGTCTCTCGCTCTGTCTCCATCTCTGTTTCTCTCCCCCCTTCTCCCTCCTGCCCGTCCCCCGGCGCTCACCGCACGCATCACACTCCATCACTGTGTTCTTCAGGAACGTGATCTCCTTGACCTGCGGCCGGGGCGGGGAGCGGTCAGCGGGGGCCCCTCCCCATTCCTCAGGGCCTCTTCTGGACTCCCGATTCCCTCCCCCGGCCCCTCTTTCCACAGACTGCCTTGCTTCCCCCCTTCCCCGCATGCTATCTCCCTTCCCAGGACTCCCTCCCCTTCCGCTGGTCCCCTCACCCCCTTTCTCTCACCCTCATGCCCCACCCCGTTTTCACAGACCTCCCTCCCCTAGACTCCTCTCCCTTTCCCGCCCCCGGCCCGGCCTGGACCCAGACCCCGATCCCCCACCCGCACCTGTTGCCGCAGCAGTTCCCGCACGTCCTGCAGAGCCTCGTTGGTCTCCTGGAGCTCGCGTAGCATCTGTGGGGCTAGGTCTGCGCCTGCGACGACAGGGGATGCTGGTGGGGCGTCGGGGTGCGGGGACTCCCGCCACCCTCACCACTGCCCCGGTGACCTGGTACTCGCGCTCTGTTCCTCGGGTTCCCCACGGGACGCAGGCCTTCCGCCCCCCACCGCCTGCTTTCTCCGCCCCTGAGCGCCCCGGAGAACAAACAGTCCGCGAGCCCCCAAGAGATGCGCCCTCCGGTCTCCTGCGGGTTCGAGCCCCCCCTTCCGGGGGCGAGCGACCCGGCGGCAGGGCGAGCGCGCCTTACCCAGCGGGATCTGGTCCTGGCCTGTCGCGCCCAGGGCGCCCAGGGTGAGCAAGAGAACGCAGGCAGCAGCATGGGCCATAGCGGAGCTCTGGGTCAGCGGCGCAGCTCTGTCACCCACGAGGCCGCAGGGCTTATTTATCCAGCAGCTGCGGCAAGCCGCCTGAGACGGCCCACCAGTGGCTCTGCCCAGCCCTAGGTAAACAGACGGGCGGGGTGCTGCTGGCCTCTGCGTTCATCGTCCAGCCTGCCTGCCCCGCGAGGCCGCCCAAGGGCTGAACCGGGGCATGGTGGGGAAACTGACTCAGGAGGCCTGTGAGGGGGGGCCGTGAATGAGGGAGTCAGGCGGGACCACCCCTCCAGTCCTCCCACTTACTTATTTACTGAGCGCCTGCCGTGTGCCAAGTCTGGGGCACAGCTGGGAGTGAGGCTTCCCCATGGTGGCCCCCACAGCTCACACTTGGGGAAACAGAGGCACAGTGGCTGGATATAGGCTTTGGGGTCAGGCTCTAGGGTCAGGCAGACCCACCCTCCACTCCCTCCTCACTTGCTTCTAAATCAGGTAAATGGGCCAATGACATGGCTCAGTGCCTCAGTTTCCCACTCTGTGCAATGGGGTAGTAAGTATTATTGTTAGTGATGATGTTAATGACTAGAGAGAAATGATGGGGGGGAGAGCCATAAGAGCAGGGACCCCCGGTGTTCCTGTACAGGTCCTGGTTCCGCCGAGGATGGCAGGTGAGTCCCCTGCCCACTCTGCTGGACTTTCCCATCTCTGAAGTTCTCCAGCTGGGGGAGGGAGAGGAGTCTGGTGGCCCAGGTACTCAAAGCCCACCCTTATCTGTGCCTCAGTTTCCTGATCTGTGCAATGGGACGTGCATATGTCAGTCCCCAGCTGGGGATGAGTCCCCCTCGGGAGGGGATGGAGTTAAGGGCTTCAGTGGAGGAGGTCCACGGTGGGGGGGGGGCCCGAGGGCTCCTGTTTGTCGAGGCTGCACCATACATTCTGAGCTGGGCTCCAGCTGCTGTGGGAACAGCCTGTAATACAAATAAAAATTACTGCTAATCAGGAAGACAGTCCCTTCCAGACAAGCAGCGCTTTAGAGCTCCTATAAAACACCTCCGATTCCTTTCCAGAGTCAGTTAACCCTCTCCGTCCCAGCCCTCCAGCACTCACCGCTTCTGTTCTATAGACAGGGAAATTGAGGCCAAGAGAGGGGAAGCACCCGGGTTATGACACTTTGCAGGACAGGGGTGAAGCCAGGGTCATAGCCAGATGTGTCCTCCAGAGGTTGCAGAGAAGTCCCTGAGGGCTTCCTGGAGGCAGTGGCAGTGGAGACATAAAAGAAAGGGAAGACTCAGGTCAGCAGAGGGAAAAGATTAGGGCAGAGGGAAGTGCGTGGGTAAAGGGTTGGAGGTAGGAACATCTCAGGCACATTCATTTTTTTTTTTCACAGGTGTGTCTTGAGCACATACTATGTGTAATGGCCTGTAGTTAAAATCAGTGTAACGTAGTTATAAATTTTGACTTCCTCCACCAGAGCCTTTAACTCCATATCCTGATGGGCGCTGGGGACACAACATGAACAAGCCAGACCCAGCCCTTCCCTGTCTGATGATGAGGCAGCTAAGTAATCAGACAGTGATCACACAGAGGTAGCAGAGCTTTGATGGTGAACGTACAGGCAGCTGTGGGAGCCCTGAGGTGGACAGCAGTCAGGGCGAGCGTCCCAGAGGAGGAGGGGACACTAACACTGGGACCTGGAAGATGAGAAGGACATGCCAAACAGAAATATGGTGGAAAGATGTTCCAGGTGGAGGGAACAGCAGAAGCAAAAGCCCTGAGGTAGGAATGGGCTGAAATGCGTCAGGAGTTCACTGCAGCGCTATTCGCAATAACCAAAAGGTGGACACAACGCAAGTGTCCATCGGCACATGAATGGAGAAACACAATGTGGTCCATCCATGGAATATTACCCAGCCATAAAGATAAATGAAGTCCTGATACATTCTACAACAGGGGGGAACCTCAAAAACATTATGCTGAGCAAAAAAAGACACAGACACTAAAGGACAGATATTGTACGATCCCACTTAGGCAAAATATCTAGAATAGACAAGTGCATGGGCAAAGTTTATTAGCGATTATCAAGGGCTAGAGGAAGGGAAAATGGGGGCACTGAGTTTCTGTTTAAATCAAACCAAGCCCACTGCCATCGAGTTGATTCCGACTCATAGCGACCCTATAGGACAGAACAGAACTGCCCCATAGGGTTTCCAAGGCTGTAAATCTTTATGGAAGCAGACTGCCTCATCTTTCTCCAATGGAGCAGCTGATGGATTCAAACTGCCGAGCTTTTTGGTTAGCAGCCGAGCGCTTTAACCACTGCACAACCATTTGAAAATGAATAGTGGTGATGGTTGCACACCATGGTGAATGTAATTAATGTCACTGAACCGTACATCTAAAAATGGTTAAAATGCCTCGGAAGACAGACCTGGCAATCTGCTTCTGAAAGGTCACAGCCTTGAAACTTCTATGGAGCAAGCAGTTCTACTCTGCACACATGAGGTTGCCATGAGTCTGAATTGACTCAGTGGCAACTGACAACCACAACAACAAAAAGACATATAAAAATGGTTAAAATGGCCAAAGTTTTGTAGCATATAGTCACTGGAATTTTTTAAAAAAAGGATGTTGGGGTGGCGAGAGCTTGGGGTTCAAGGAGAATCAGGAGATGGGTTGTGGAGGCGCAGTACCAGTGGTATGGGGCTCAGGCTGTCTTCTGAGGGCAATGGGGAGCCACAGAGGGCAAGTGAGCAGGGACAGGCCTTCCGGGGAGGGCGGGTGGCCATAGCCAGCCCTGGCCTGGGCATTTCCTGCAAAGCCTGTGCCCCGACAGTGCCTGCACTGCCTGCTGCTTGTGGCTGGGCCGTGAGCTCACCTCCTGTTTTCCTTGGCATCTGGCTCACCTGGGGGCCGCTCCCGGCCGACGCTGGAATTCTCGGGAAAACCACAGCTTGGGGCTGGGCCCCGGTGTGTGGCTCGTGTAGCTGGGACAAGGGCACATGGAAGCCAGGCCTCTGCTACAGGCCCAGCACAGGGCTGGGGCTTTGACACACGTGGCTCCATGTATGGCTGGGCCATGGGAAGATGTGGGGAGGGACATTCCAGGCAGAGGGAATGACAAAGGTGGAGGCCCTGAGGATGCCCCAGTGTGCACATTAGGCAAGGGAGGCCCAGAGAGGGGCAGCTCTGGTTTCATACTCCTGCCCCCTGAATCCCACCAGTCACTGGTCCTGTAACCCCCATTCTAGCAGCCAGGCCCCTTCCTCACCAGCCTCACCTTAGAGAATAGCTCCTGCTGGGTGTCTTTCTGTGCCTGTGTGCATGCCGTTCCTGACGTCTAGAGTACCCTCCTTCATGCATCAATGTGCCGCTCCAATGCCTCCTCCTCCAGGAAGCCCTCCCTGATCCCCACTGGGCAGGGCAAAGGGGCTGATACCCTTGTGACTGGTCCCCTGGGACCCCTGGAGGCCCCCAACTGAGTGTTCCTGGTAGAGAAGGTTGGGATGGGATGACCCTCCAGTTCAGTCCTGTGTATGCTCTGTCCTTCTCAACGTGGGAGCCCCTCTGGAAGGTAGGAGGGCTTGGTGAGCCATGGTCCACAGTTACAATGAGTGTAACATCATTATCATTCCTTACATTTAATGTAACATTGTTACTGTTAATAAGAGTAACATCAGCCACCACTGTACTTTATATAGCATTCAAGGCCCTGCCCCGACCACACCACTTAGGTTTGAATCCAGCCAGGCACAGCCTTGCTGTGTGACCTAGGGCAAGTTGCTTGACCTCTCTGTGTCTCAGTTAGCTCACCTGTAAAAAGGGGGTGAGAATTTCAGAGAAGATTGAGGTAACTTGTGCAAAGTACTTGGGCCACTGTTAGCCTCATCAAACAATAGGTAACTTATACCACACCTTAGGTGTTCCTGGGTGGCAGAAAGGGTTATGTACTTGAGGACTAGCCCAAAGGTTGGCAATTTGAACCCACCCAGAGGTGCCTCTGAGGACAGGCCTGGCGATCTGCTTCCAAAAGGTCACAGCCTTGAAAACCCTATGAAACAGTTTTACTCTGCACACATGGGGCCACCATGAATTAGAATTGCTCAACGGCAGCTAACAGCAGCAACCTACACCTTGGATTGTTCTTATACTCATTTTACTTAGAGAGGGGACACAAAGGCCCAAGGTCACCCAGCCAGGATTTGAATCCACAATGAGGGAACCCCAAACTCTACATACCCCCTCCCACCCTTGACCACGGAATCTGGGAGGGAGATGCTATTCAGGGGCCTCCTGGCCTGAGCCTTCTCTCCGCCAGCCCCCCTTCCCACCACACCAGGCCCAGTGGTTCCAGGAGCCATGCCAGACCAGGGCAGAGGGGCTGGTGCTGGCGGGACGGTGCCCTGGGCCCCCAGCCCAGCTCAAGTGTTTCTGGCAGAGGCCTGCCGTGCCAGGAGACGTGTGGGCGCCCGCTGCCTGCCTGCTGCCCAGCCACCCCTCTTTGTGAATCCAGAGGGAAAGTATGTCGGGAAGGCCAGTCTGCCCCACCCTAGTCAGGCCAGCGGCAGCCTGTGGGTCTGGGGAATCCATCAGAGGGGCCAGGGAGGGCAGCCTAGCCAGGCTGCATGCTCAGCCGGGGAAGCCCGAGTCCCCCTGCCTTTGATGCCCCAGCTCGATCCATCTCTCCAAAAGGACCAAGTCAGGGAGTGGATGAGGGGTCCCAAGCACTGGGGCTGACCTTCCTGACCTGCAGCGTGAACTTTGGCAGGCCCCACCTCCTCTCTCACCGCCCCCGCCACCATTTGCCCCTGACCTCACTGAGTCCCAGGTTCCCATCTGAGTAATGAGAGCAGAGGAAGAAAGATAACAATGAATATAATAGCTACAATTTATTGAGCAAATGCCAAGTGCTCAACGCTCTGACATGCGGCTTTTATGGGATTTCCCATCCTGTCCTCACTAGGCTCCAGGAGGCAACAGGGCACAGCAATCAAGGCCTTAGTCTCTGGCATGTT